AGGAGGTCAGGTGCCGGGAGACTGTTCTGAGTTACTGGAGGGACTGCGTGAGGATGGGCGTAGGAGGTCAGGTGCCGGGAGACTGTTCTGTGTTACTGGAGGGACTGTGTGAGGACGGGTGTAGGAGGTCAGGTCCCGGGAGACTGTTCTGAGTTACTGCTGTCACTTTCTTCAGTGCCACTTCTTTATGGAGAACTGGGTCAGCTGAGTTGAGGTAGACGTTTTCATTCTGGGGAATTTACGCTGTGAAGTCTGAGAGAAATGGCACCGTGTAAAATGTTAGTATTTGTAGTATCGCTTAATTGACTTCTGAGACCCAGTAGCCTTGGGAATATGAGTTTATCAGACATTATGGTCTAAGGAGCTGGTTCAGATTCTCTGTCTGGGGAGGTGGGAGAGCTTTCTGTGCTGACTGTCTTCACAGTGGCTCTGTGGGCACAGCCGCTCCGGTTGGGGCCCCGGTCCTGGGGGCAGCCACGCCTGGCACTGCACCTGTCCCCTTCCTCCTGCGGCAGCAGCAACGTGGGGCGGTAGGGGATGTGCTGGCTCAGCTACCTCTTTATCTGTGCTGATCTCTGAACATAGGGACTGAGAAAATCCCAGTGTTTACAATTATTTTATGGGGACACTGGATCTTTTTCTTGCCTTTCCAATTCTTGCTTTGTTGAACTTAACAAACAAAGGTTCTCCAACCTGAGCAAGAGTGAGAACTTGTGTCTACTAAAAATAGAAAAACTAGCCAGGCAGGGTGGCTCCGGTGGCTCCTGTGGCTCAAAAGGGTAGGGCGCCTGCCCCATATGCCAGAGGTGGCGGGTTCAAACCCAGCTCTGGCCAAAAAAAGAAAAACTAGCCGGGCATCATGGTGGGCACCTGTAGTCACAGCTACTCGGGAGGCTGAGATAGGAGGATTGCTTGAGCCCAGGTGTTTGAGGTTGCTGTGAGCTATGACACCAGGGCACCCTACTGAAGGCAACAGAGAGAGACTGTCTCAAAAAAACAAACAAAAAAGGTTCTTTGTTCCCTTTTTTATCTTGATAAAGTTAATGGTTCAATACTGGGAAAATACAGGAGAGTAGAGAAACAGTCATCTGTATCTCTCCATGTGAAGACAAAGCCACAGAAATTCAGATGCATTTTCTTCCTTTTTGAGGGATTTGTTTTTGTTTTGCTTTGTGTTACGTGTTTATGTTCTTTTTTTTTACAAACTTGTTGGATCAGAGTAATTTAATTTTGTTATACACCTGTGACCATTGTTTATACACAGCTTTAAAATTTCTTTGAGTTTTAAAGCATTTTTGATGTTTGCAAAATAGTTTATTCAGAGTGTGCTCATTGAGCTGTTCTCCTGTTACTGGCTGCTGAAGGCATCTACTTGTTGTCCTGGAAAGAGACAGTGGGTGGCACATTCGCACTCGAAGCCCATGGTTGTTTCAGACTCTTTTATTAGGGAGGATCCCCCCTTGCCCAGGGGTGTTCATGTTTGCTGTGGGTCTCTGTGCCCATTATGAGCCGGAGGGCCTGTCTCCTCTCCTCCTCTCCTCCTTCTCTGCCACTGTCCGTGGTTCCCTGAGCTCATCCTCACCTGTGTCGTTGCCTCCCAGGGGTCCGAGGAGCACACGGTCGTCTACGTGGTGGGCAAGGCCGGCCGGCAGCACTGGCAGCACGTCTACACCGCAGTGACCAGGGGCCGCTGCAGAGTGTATGTGATTGCGGAGGAGTCCCAGCTCCGGAGCGCCGTCAGGAAGACCAGTTTTCCCAGAAAAACACGTTTGAAACATTTCTTGCAAAATAGCCTCTCCCTTAGCTGTGCACCTCCAGCTGGAGATGGTGGGGAGCCCAGCATGCCACCAGCATCGCCACCTTCCTTAGCCACCGCTGAGACGGCAGCATGTGACGTCCCCAGGAGCGAGGGCTCTGCGGCCGTGGACGGGACACTGACCTCCATGGAAAGTTGGAGATTGTTGTCCTTCGACGGAGTAGATGCAGATGAGGACGCGCTGGCAACACGGGGAGTCAAAAGGACCGGGGAAGTGAGCGATGATGGGAGTCCCAGCAAAGTCCTCATGGTAGGAGCAGTGGTCGCGTGTGCTCCCGTGTCAGTAGACTGCTCGTTTAGTGTCTCCTGGTCTGTCCTGTCCCGTCCCTTGTGCCCAGTCAGTCCTGTCACTGCTTCACTCTGCTTCCGGTGCTCCTGCAGGCGGCCTCTAGACGGTGGTGACCCCGAAGAAACCCTGCTGTCCCCCAGCCTCTTCCAGACGCCCTCCCAGGCAGGGCTCCCTCTCTGCTCCACTCTGTGGCCCTGACCTCACTGGTGTCCCTCACCTCACTGGAATGGCTCTTCCTGTCACCTTCTCATCCACTCCAAAGACTTTGTCATGGGTCATGTTCTCCTTGGCTTTCTTTTTTTTTTTTATTGAATGGTAACTATGTACATTAATGCACTTCTGGGGTACAGTGTGGGGTTTTCACATGCAATCTGAAATACTTCCATCAAACTCTTTTTTTTTTGAGACGAAGCCTCAAGCTATCCCCCTGGGTAGAGTGCCATGGCATCACACTCACAGCCACCTCCAACTCCTGGGCTCAAGCAAGTCTCCTGCCTCAGCCTCCCAAGTAGCTGGGACCACAGGTGCCCACCACAGCGCCCGGCCATTTTTTGGTTGCAGCCATCACTGTTGTTTGGCGGGCCTGGGCTGGGGATTCGAACCCGCCACCTTAGGTATATGTGGCTGGCGCCTTAGCCGCTTGAGCCACAGGTGCTGAGCCCTCCTTGGCTTTCTTATTGACATTTAATAGTCTTGACTGGGGCCTGTTTCAGTGTGTTCTTCCTGCTCCCAGTGCCCCCTCCCAGGCCTCCCGCCCTGCTGCCTCCCTCCCCACTTTCCCCCTCCTCTCCCCGTCTTCCCCCCTCCCCTCCCCTCCTCTCCTCTCCTCTCCCTTCCCTTCCTATGGTCCTCTCCTCCAGGGTTCAGAGAGCATTTTGTTTAGTGACATTACTGAGAACTGAAAAGATGAGTGGGTGGCTTGGTGGCTTATAGAGGGCTCTGACATGCAGAGGAGCCACTGGTCCAGCTGCCCAACCTGAATCTTTGTGCCCAGAGACTGACTTCTGGAGCCTCAGTCTCATCTCTCCAGTTCAGTCACTATTCTCCTGGCTTCACCGCTTAGAGTCTTGAATCACCTGGGCCTCACGGTCCACTCAGGCTTACCTGGGCCTCAGTGTCCACTCAGGCTCACCCGGGCCTCACTGTCCACTCAGGCTCACCCGGGCCTCACTGTCCGTTCAGGCTCAGCTGGACCTCACTGCCTGCTCAGGCTCACCCGGGCCTCACTGTCCACTCAGGCTCACTCAGGCCTCACTGTCCACTCAGGCTCACTCAGGCCTCACTGTCCACTCAGGCTCACCGGGCCTCACTGTCCACTCAGGCTCACCCGGGCCTCAGTGTCCACTCAGGCTCACTCAGGCCTCACTGTCCACTCAGGTTCACCCGGGCCTCACTGTCCACTCTGGCTCACCCGGGCCTCACTGCCTGCCCGAGGAGCTGCCCACCTTTTGCTCTGTGTCTCCCGGGTCTGTCCACTCGTCCCAGCTGCCCCATTTCACATCTTTGTCTGTCTTTGGGTGCTTGGTGGCCTGGTTTCCCTCCGTCACTGTTCTGTTCTCCTAGCACAGGAGCCCCCCCCCCCCTTCTGTGGCTTTGCTTTCCATGGTTTGTTATACAGGGTCAACCACAGTCTGAAAATATCAAATGGAAAATTCTAGCAGTAGAAATTCGTAATTGTTGCCATCCTGAGCAGCACAGTGAAGCCTGCACCATCCTGCTCCCTCCCACAGGGACGCAGCCCTCCTTCCATCCTGAGCTCACAGAGGTTGTCAGATGGACTGGTGGTGTCATGGTGCCTGTGTTCATGTGACCACTGTTTTATTGGTAGTGATTATTGATAATTTCTTGCTATTTCTAATTTAGAAGTTAGATTTTTATCATAGGCATGTATGTATAGATAAAAGCAGTATATTTGTAATACTGTTTGGAACTTTGGGAGAAAATGTTAGCAAAAATTTCCAAAAAATTGGCAGAGTATAGACAAGGCCTTGGCTTGGTGGATGTTACTGCGATCCTAAGGGGGCCTCACAGTGAGTGAAAGAGGAAACTAAAGCTGGAACTACAGGCGTGTGCACCAAGCCTGACTAGTTTTAAAATTTTTCATAGAGGCAGGGAGACTTTGTGTTTCTAAAAGGTGGAATTCAGTGACAAGGGCTGTCCACAGACCTGTCTTCTTTATTTTATTTGAGGCAGTCTCACTTTGCGCCCTGGGCAGAGTGCTGTAGCATCACAGCTCATAGCAACCTCACAGTCCTAGGCCCAAGTGATCCTCCTGCTTCAGCCTCCCAAGTAGCTAGAACCACAGGTGGAACCAAGTCTGCTGGCTGAATCCTTTCTTCCTGGGGAGGGCACCTCTACACAGCCGAGCCAGCGCTGGGGAAGAGCGCCGCAGTCCCCAGGGGAGCTGAGCGCACGCCTGGTGGCTCCCATCTTTCAAAGCTTGGGGAGAATATGTGTTTTTGTTTTTCAGAAGCAGAGGGAGTATAAGTGCTGTAAGGGTTGACTGACTCCATTTTTTAAAAATTAACAATTTTTTTTGTTCTAACAGGTGGGACAATCTCCACAGGTATCTTCCAGACTTCAGAATCTGAGACTAAATAATTTAGTCCCCAGAGAACTCTTCAAACCCACAAATAATGAAGAAACTTAATTTTATTTCAGAATGTTCAGAATAATCATGTTTTTTCCATTTAAGACAAAACAAGCATCATGTCTTCAAAATAGCAAGAGAAAAGGAACTACAGCTGGACTTTTATTTTAAGGTGTTTGTGTGAACAAGTGTGAACCATTTGATCAAAGAAAACTTTTAAAATTTCAACATCTGTCATCATGAAACCTGGTAACACTGGACATGAATGAAGGGAAAAGATGTTTTTTATACATATACATGTTTGTAAAATTATGTACTTTAAAAAGTCTTCTCATCTGCCGTTGAGATGCTTCGTAACTGCCATGTTCCTTGAGGGTCATCTCTGCAGCATGTTGAAGCTGGGACAGAGACAGGCTGGCTGCACCTGTCTGCTGACCGGGTGTTCCAGTGCGTGGGGCTTCCTGCCACGTGGTCACCCTGCAGAGCTAGTACCCGTCATGGGGCCGGGGCCAGCACACGCGGACGTTCTCCTGGAAATACCTTCTGAGTTGGGAACTCATTGTTTTGATTATGTTTCATTTTGGAAAATATTTTTTCTCTCAGAGTAATTCAGTTTTTAAATTCTTTTTGATAAATGGTAAAAGAAGAAGTTAAGAGGAAAAATGTGTTTGCTTTGCTATCCCCTTGTTTTCTAACTGGCTTTTTTGAGATAATTCACACACGATTCACCCAATTTAAGTATATAATTCAGTGGCTTTTAGTATTCAGATGTGTGGAGCTGTCATCACAATCAGTGTAAGAACATTTTCAAATCCACAGAGATGCCCCACACCCCTTAGCCGTAACCTCCTGGCCTCCCTGTCCTGGATAACCACGAATCTACTTGGTCTCTATGGGGTTCCTATTCTGACCTGTCAGGAAGAACTGTGGTCAGTGCTGGTTTTTATTTCTAAGAGTCTAATAATTTCAGCTCTTACCCTTAGATCTTTAATTGATTTTTTTGTTTATTTTTGAGACGCAGTCTCACTATATTGCCCTTGGTAGAGTGCAGTGGCCTCACAGCTCACAGCAACCTCAAACTCTTCAGCTCAAGTGATTCTCTTGCCTCAGCCTCCCAAGTAGCTGGGACTATAGGCGCCCACCACAATGCCCGGCTATTTTTAGAGACGGGGAGTCTTACTCTTGCTTGAGCTGGTCTCGAACCGGTGAGCTCAGGCAGTCCACCTGCTTCGGCCTCCCAGAGTGCTGGGATTACAGGTGTGAGCCACCACCTCGCCCGGCCAGATCTTTGACTGATTTTGAGTTAATGTTTACATGTGAATTTCATTTGCTCCAGCTCCATTTCTTGAAGACGTAATTCCTTCCCCACTGAAGGAATTGGTGGCCTTGTTAAAAATCATCTGACTGCAAGGTGAGGGGTGTTTTGAAGTCTCCTCGATTGTGTTCCACAGACCTGTACATGTGTTCTGTTTTTACGCCATTGCTTTGGCTTTGTGGTAGTGATGGTTGGTGTCTAAGAACCCTGCCCACGTTGCCTAACTTGGTGTGCAGCCGATCATGGTAAAGCCCCCCTGTCCCAATTTTAGTAATTTGAGCCTTCCCTTTTTTTCTTAGTCAGTCTGGCTGAAAGTTAATGAATTTTGCTGATCTTTTTTAAGGACTAACTTTGGGTTTCAATGACTTAATTTTAACTTTTGCCCTTATTACTTGGGAGAGGCTGAGGCACTGCACACCTCCAGTTAAAGGGGCCTGTGGGAGGACTTAGTATCAGTGGGGACAGACCATCCAGCTACTTGTTTTTGAAGCAGAGAATGGGAATTTGTGGGGGTCGGGGATAGGGACTTGTCTGATTCTGTTGTGGGTGAGCAGAGGAGGCACCTTTGGGTTCTATCTGAGTCACATGGGCAGTGTGGTTTTTGCACGGTTCTTGGAACACAGGTGCTGGCAGGGTGGACACCACCACCCTTACAGAAAAGATGGGCTCTGGTCAAGTTTAATGTCAAGAAGCTTTTTTCATTCAAAACTCCAGTTCTTATATTATGAGTGTACAGTTGGGCACAATACAAATAATTTTCCCAATTCAAAATTCCATAAGATTTTATTAAAGGAGGTTACATCTAAGGTGCCCTGATTTGGGTTTAAGCACATGGTGTTGAGCCCCAGTGTGACTGTCTGCTGGCTGCCCAGCAGCCTCCGGTGGGTGCGCCCTTATGCTCAAGGCCTTGCCTGGCTAGTGAGAGCCACTGCACTGGTGTCGGAAGGCACTTCCATGTGTTATTAAGCTGAAGTCTCCCTTATTGGAGCCTCTGTCCACAGGCATTAATTCTGACCCAGGGACACAGACAACATTGGTCTGCTCGCCTGGCTGTGTGCACCCAGCCTGCCGCCAGCTCCACACCGTGCCCTCTGCCATTGGCGTGTGCTGCTGCCCTCTGCAGAGGGACACTTCCTTTGGGCTGGCCACGGATCTGAATAGTGCTTCCTGCTCTCAAGAGGACTTTTTGTTTTTAACTTTTTAATTTTTTTTATTTAAATAGCCATTTGCTATCATTGATTGATTTTTGTTTCGGTTGTAACTAAACATCTGAGTCTTCATGTGAGATCCACCTTCTTTTTAGCCTTTATTCACACAGTCAGTTCTCACCCCACTCCCTTCAGCCCCTTATGCAGAACTTGGGCTGCACCAAACCTTTTGACAGCATAGCAGAGACTCCGACGACTGCTCGGACCTCGAGACAACAGGTCTTTGGGAGGTCCTTTCCCTTGGGAGGTCATGGAAAAGGAAAGGACCTTGTCTCTTGGATGCAAGGTTGGGCACACAGGATGTGACCATGAAAATGATTGACAGCCTGCAGGGCAGTCTGGGAAACAAGAATGTGGGGACTATAGGTGTGGTCTTTGTCAAACGTACATGATTGAACTGTGTGTTTTCAGCAGTGCACGTGGCATGCTCTTGGGGACAGGTGGTGTGCTCCATGACTCTGTATTTGTCTCCAGTGGGAAGGCCCCGTGGTTCCAGCCCTTCCCCCGTTGGGCCTGGTGCTCAGTGTATCCGATGGTTCAGACAGGCTGCCTCTCCGAGCTGGAGTCAGACCTGTGCTCTGCCCACTCTCCATGGTGCTTTTTAAGTTTATGGTGAATCCTTTCCCCTTTAGAAAATTATGTAAATGTAAGCACTCTGTAAAACTCAGCTAAAACCCTGAAATAGACACAAAGCACCAACAATGCATAATCTTTTTCTTTTTTTTTTTTTTTGGCTTTTTAAAGTCACTGTTTATTCCATTTGGTAGAGGGTTTTTTTTTCATACAAATATTTGCAACAATTTTGAATTCCCCAAAACCATACATAGACGATAAATACCATGCTATAAAGTATTAAATTTGTACAAAAATACTTTACAGTTTAATACTTGTTTGTTACAAATAAAAATACATATTTAAGTGACTCATGATCTTTTTTTCTCTTAACATGATTCTGCTTTATACTTTCTTGCCCTGGTGGCTCTGAAACGTGATTGAAGTAAGATTATGTATTTCTTTGCACAAAAAGAAAGGTGAACTTTCTCCTTAAACAAAGGACACAGTGTTCAAATGCTTTGCCTAAGTGGTAGTTTGAATTATTGACCAAAATGAAAATGTTGGGAAAATAATCATTTTGATATGGAGATTCTACCATCAACATACAGATCTATCTTTTTATATTCACCAAATAACAGTTATTAGTGTAGCTATTCAAAATATCTGGACAAATGGAAACAGTTGCTGACAGAGGTCACAGCAACTGTCAGAGCTTATTGCTTTGAGGGACAGTAACAGGTGGCAATGCATCTTGTGAAAGTGTATTTACAGTTTCAATGAGTGGCCTGGCTCGGAGCAGAGCACAGTCCAGCGTCTGGACGTGCACATACCTCAGGTGCCAACTTCCAAAACACGTCCAGCAGTGTGAGTTGGACTGGCCTACGTTAGGGTAAGCCTCATTTTAACAGACTCCCATTCTCTCTTACCTTCTTATTCTGGAATTTAAAAAATAAGGTAATATAACTAATTCGCAGTGTGACTACCCACTAATTCATTATCAGAAATTTTCAGCTATTAAAAATGTGTCTTTAAAAAAAAAAAAAACAGGTCGCAAGACATAGCCTGTTTGCTACTTTGTTGCATAGGGAATAGCATACATCTTAGTTAAAATCATTCCTATACTTGGGCAAAACATTTACCACCACCCCTTATAGTCTCCTACGTGCATCTCTGCGGAAACATTTTAAGATAATTTCACACCTGTGCCCCTCCCACAACTGTGGTCCCTGCAGTTTTTTAAACACTTGCCCCATTGGAGCAGCTGAGGAAAAGCCGTGTTGGTCAAACTCTTACCTTAATGACCTCCCAGTAAGAAACTGACTTCAAAGTAATGAGGAAATTACCATAGAGAATATTTTCAAACAGGCATTTTTTTTTTTAAGTGATAGTAAGATGAATCATAAAAAATTTCCTCTGATATTAGTTGTGGGGAGGGGCAGCCAGGCAGGGGACCCCTGTCGTGACCAGAATGGTCTCCAGAAGAGAACCTCTTCAGCTTGAAAAGGGGCGTGAACACGAGCCATGAGAGAGTGGAAAGACCCCTGTGCTTGCAGTTAATGCCACGTGATCATCTGTGCTTCAAATGCCACAGAAATCATAAAGGGATTGTTAGCACCATGTGGAGATCGTCTGTGTCCTGCTTTATAGAACGCGCTGCTATAACGTATTAGTGGGTTCTCTCGCCTCCAGGTTCCCGCCATGGCGAGGCTGCTGGAAGAACGCACAGTTCTGCTCACTCCAGTCTCCCCCCGGGAGAGCCTGCTCCACGGGCTTCTGTGCAGCCACTGGGCTCCTGCTGATGACCAGGTCCAGCCTGCTGCCAGACTCTGCGATGAGGGGCACCACCAGGCAGCAGTCGAAGTCTCTTGTCCGGACGTGGTTGACCTGCAAGGTCAGGAAGAGCCATTTGCTTCTGTGACCGTAATTTCCCCAGCCCAGAGAGCTCTGCAGGGGAGTGAGGTGTTCAGAGTTAAGGGGGAGCCCGGTTACCGAGCACCACACCTCACGCTGGGGCTAGCTCGCTCCCCGCCCTGTGAAACTGTAAGGTGGGAGGAGGCACACGCCTGCCAGCCTCGCCACAGGGCACACTGAGGGGCACTGTTATCCCCAGTCACAGATGAGAACAGTGCCCCAGAGAGGTTGAGTCATGTAATCTGTGATCACAGGCAGTTCCGGTTGTTAGTTGCAAGGAGTTAAAATTCCACCTTACATCTTACCTGTAAGAGCCTGTCATAGGGCTTTAGGCCACCCAGGTCCCCTGGCCCAGCTGGGCGGATATTTTTGACATACACGCCTTTCTCCAGCAAGCCATCTGCTACACTGAACCCGAAGTCCTCCATGTCAGAGCCCTTGTACAAGGTCACCTGGAAAGTGAGCACATGTGGTGGAGACTTTAGTGGGCTGTGGACTTGCTCCTGAAATCCCTGATGAACAATCTTTTCAGACTGATTTCAGTCACATTAGGATTCATGATGTAAGCATTAGGCAGTCCCCTCCCCAACCTGAAGCTCTTTTTTTTTCAGACAGTCTCACTTTGTCACCCTGGGTAGAGTGCCGTGGCATCACAGTTCACAGCAACCTCAAACTCAGGCTTAAGCGATTCTCTTGCCTCAGCCTACCAAGTAGCTGGAACTACAGGTGCCCACCACAACGCCCAGCTACCTGAAGCTCTTTTTCTACTAATACCCTTGTCTCTGGACTGTATGAAGTCCATCCAGGACTCTGGAAAGAGACAGAGAATTGGCGAGGTCCCCTCTCCTGTCCTCCCTCCCCCCCTTGCAGGGGAGGGTTCCCCAGGCTGGGCTGACTCCTGCCATCTTCCCACCAACCCCCAGGCTGCTTCCTAGGACACCACACCACTCTGTCCCACTCTGGATGGCTTGGGCGATGACAGCCCAAGTCTCCGTTGTAAAGTCCCCTCAACCTGTCCCATTCTGGGTGGTTCGGGTGATGACAGCCCAGGTCCCCCTCAACCTTTCATCTGATGGCTTCACCCTGACGACCATGGTTAGAATCAATGATTTTGTTCGAGGTTGCAAGATGCTAATCTTTCCTACTCCTGTTAACATCGCCTATGTAATTAGCTAAAATGATTTTTTAGAGGGGAATTCTTCTTCCTGGAATTAGTGCTGTTTGGCTACTTTGAAATGGGAAGAAAGGATGTCAATTCTTCTTTTACAATTTCAGACCAAGGTCTGTGCACCAGTGCTCCCAACAGTTACTTCAGTGAGAATTTGTGCTTGTGTCTGTGGGGGTTGAGCAGAGCCTCTAAACAGACCTGTGGGTTTGTGTGTTCAATGCACTTTTGTCAAGCACATTGTCATTCTGGGTACCCAGACGCCCTCACCCTGGGCCGGGCAGGCTCCCCTGTCGAGCCTGTGTCTTTTTCATGGGGTCTGTCCGTCCAGTGGCTCCTTTGTGCACTGGCATGAGACAGCACAGGTGTCCACAGATGTGTCCTGCCCTGCTGAGCCCGTGTCCTTTCTGTGAGGTCAGTCCATCCGGTAGCTACTTTGCTCGCTAGCACGAGACACCACAGATGCCCAGGGACGTTTCCCTGCCCTGAAGTGGAAGCAGCGTTCTCCAGCAGCTGTGATGGAGGAGACTCTGCTTGTTTCTGTCACAGCCTAGTTCCCCCTGAGCCCAAGCGGCGGCCAGTGGCTGGCAGGGCCTTCTCAGGACCTTGCTTACTAGCAGATGAAATCTCTACCTGGGGCTCTTCTCAGGTTTTGTCTGTGTGGTCTCCTCCACCCTTTTCCTCTGTTCCTCCCATGCTGTGTGTGACAGGCAGAGCGTGGGGCTGGGGGTGCGGCCATGCCCGGGGTCCATCTTCCTTGCTGTCGCTGCCCCACCTCAGCTAAGTGGGCTGTAGTCCTGGGCCCAGGCTGTGCAGGGGACTGGCTGCAGCCCTGCGGGACCAGTGCACTCTGGTCTCCCAAACATGAGGGTCCAAAGCTGCTCACTGTGCTTTGAAGCCACTTAGGTCTCAAATTGGAGCCGAGTTTTCTTTTCTTTTTTTTGTTTTTGTTTTTTTTTGAGACAGAGTCTCAAGCTGTCCCCCTGGGTAGAGTGCCATGGCATTAAAGCTCACAGCAACCTCCAACTCCTGGGCTCAAGCGAGTCTCCTGCCTCCGCCTCCCAAGTAGCTGGGACCACAGGCGCC